CAAAGCATGGATCAAGTCTTTCCACAGGTCGGATTTTGGGGCTTGCATTATGAATTTGTATTCAAATACATAGCGCTCATTATGTGGGTCAGTTGGCTTTCCACAGAATAACCACACCGGTTCGCCTTCACGCAACGGACCTATTCTTTGCAAAAGTGTTGCTTCTTGAACCTGAGTTGCAAAAACTGATAATACTTAGTTTGAATGACACACAACAGGAAAGGTGTTTAATAAATAGATCATACCTTGAGACCTCTAGCTTTTGAATACAACTCTCCTAAGTTTTTGGCGTCATCATTCTCAGCTTCAAGATGAAATAGCCATAAGTCACGAAGCTGATCTTGGAACATTTGCAAACTGCTAGCTACAAAAACATTGGCCTGGGCCAGGCTTAGTACTTGCGAGCGGCCAGAACTATTACTTAGGTGCCAGTTGGCATGAAATTTGGACGTTAGGTATTTAGACATGTCGCCCACTTCCAATTCCAACTTCCTAGCTACCCATTGATGATCTCTGTGACCCGCACTGACTGGGTCTCCAAACTTATATAAAACCAGCGAGCTAGAGTAACCAGTAAAGTCTTGCGGGTCATATATGACTGGCTTGAGAGGGGAAAAACTTGGCAAGGCGTAGATGAATGCCGCTTCTTTCTTCCAAAGATCCTCCCTCAAAAAGTTCTTATCACGATCTGGTGACATATAGATAAGCATATCTGAATTGAGCTGGGTCTGTCGTGAAATATACAAGTGAATACAAAAAGGAACTTAACTATGATTGGCATGAAGACAGTGATTTATGTGATCGGATTTTTTTCTATGTTCAGTGGAAACTACGCACTCACACATTCAACATGTTATAACAGCGCAAGCATGTCAGCGAGTTGCAGGACGTGGTGACAACGTAAGAGGCCACTTGAACCAAATCTAACTCAACTTGTCTCGTTGTGACTGGGATTATTGGTGTGAACGTCCTGTATTCCATGTTTGGTGGCAACTATTTACATTGATCACAAATTTCAGAACCATGTCAGTTAAGAGTGAAAAATTAGTAAAGTGCAAAAGAAGGACGATGGAGAGGATGTCAGTACAACAGTTAAAATTACTAAACTGATCGATTTCAACAGGTGAGTAGTATTCTTTTCTTTGATCGTGAAATCAGTGTTGGGGGTGGGAGTAGACATATGTGTATGTGTCTCGGTAGCCGATGAAGACTCAGGGTCTTTGGGTCTTATCACGTCGTCTTCGCTTGAGACGAAGGCCCGATCAAATGTACGAGCCAATAAATCTTCTGCCCCTTCCACGGTTTCCGATACATGGGTGATATCAGTCAGCACTCCACCTAGTACACTAGTTGGTGGAGTGGAAGGTTCAGGTTTTTTTGAAGATTGTGTGCGAATGGGCATAGCGATTAAGGTGATCTATTCAAACAATAAGAGGAGTTATCATAAAATGCTGTCAGCAAGATTCAATTTTTTTCAACGTGTGGTTTGAAAATGAAACAGCGGTAAAGAATGTAAAATGACCTGGGCTAGTCGAGGTACGTGGGTGGAAATGATTTGTTTATTTGGTATTAGTCATATTCTTATTGGCCATACGAGTATGTCCAAGAATAAGACCAATACCCGATTGCGTGGCACACTCATTCGGGTCTATAATGATATCATGATGATATCATTATTTACAATGATAATGGACCCTTGGTATATTGCACGCAATTGGTGGATGGTCAAATTATAAATCTGAGTCGCCTGCCGGGTGTGTTTTGAGTCGCCTGCCGGGTGTGTTTGCGAATGTGTGGCGAGTAAATCATTTGACCTGGTTCATATTGTTAGTTTCGCTAAATATATAGATGTACCTGAAGTGGTGAAGCGCACTTGGTTTAAGAGAGAATATAACTTATTACTTGGTTTGTTCAATAATTTTTTTGAAAATTAATTGAACTTTGAGAATTTTGATCAAAGTAAAGTAATCAAAAATTAAATTAGCTATGATGTTATTATATTATTATGAGAGAAACGAGCATACAAGAGGTTTAAGTAATAGTTAAAGTATTATGGAAATTTATATTATATGATTTATAAATTGTAAATTTAATCGTTAAAAATTCATGTAGATGAGGGCCAGACACAATCATCAAAGGCAATTAAATTCATTGGCTTACAATGCCTCTGTTTTGAACAGTATATTACCAAAAAAGCTCACATTAGGGCGAGAAGATATCTTTGCACAAGTGCGGAGATTATGGAGCCTTATCATTTCCTCAATAAAAAAATTATACTTTACGGGATGCATATTGCGGCATATGGACGCAAATCGACCAAACCAAGCGTTCACTATTTCCGCAGCAGAAGAGTTGAATCTCCAGCTGCCATCGGGTCGCTTGAGTTGAGGGAAAAGAGAGGGGTCGTTGTTGGCACGGCACATTGCATGTGTTGTTTTGTGTGACTTCATATGAAATGCGTCCACAGGTAGGATGGTATTTCGAAAGGCGTGAGTGTCTTCAACACTGGAACGGATATGAGAATGCAAGCCACAAGCGTTATCATAGAATATAACTTGTGGCATCTCATCGGGGAATACCTCTCTAATCCAGTCCTGTGACAAATGATGCAACCATATGAGGCCAAATTGGATTGAAAGTCTAAACAGAGACCTCACCAAACTCACTTTGACTTTGGTGACCGACTCAGATTTGAAAAATGTCTTTCGAGCCATGATTATACCACAAGTTGAAACCATCAACTGTTCGTTGTGGGTTTTGCACCGAGAGATCATGATTGTTGGTATTTTACCTTCTCCGCCATCGCGAGCGCCTTCATGTTCTCGCTCCTCCACTTCTGCGTACATCAAATCTTCTTGTGTCATCTTAATCTCTCCTGTCTCGGCAGAAAGCATAACACTTGGATCGAGGGCAATTCGAGTATTGGTTCTATTATAACGCCTTGGTAGACCAAAAAATGTGGTGTTTCGTTCTTTAAAAGCTTCGTGTGCTTCTGCATGTTCTGGTAGGTGACATGTATCTTTTCCTTTTGCTTTGGGTAAGATACAAGGCTGACAGCAGCACACATTGCCAAGAGAGCGCTTGTGTGCTGGGCAGAATCTATCATTAACCTTGTCGAGCGGTTGATCACAATAGTTTAACAAACTATTCGGATTAAGTAAATTCAATTGTGTTTCTGATGCGCTGCAACACCAGTGACCCACTGTAACGCCATCAGTCACCACCGATCGTATTACTGAATGTAGAATTCAGAGATGATCAGCATGAAAGTCGTTCTCATTACTGGTGTGTTGAAACATCAAATGTCTTACTTTTCGCGTCTGGTGTTCCTGGTATTGGTTTGTAATCAGTACATAGTGAGCAAATGTGAGCTTTATATATTGTACCCTCCTCTTGTACCCAACGCTTGTGTCGCTTCATGGCTTCATGAAATCGCCGGTCATCAGAACCCTCGGCATCACTCTTCAAACGGACACCACGTTTGTTGGTCATTCTCAACAATCGGTCTATATCTAATCCTAAAGAGCATACGGTCTCGCTGAGGCTTCGTTTGTATCGACTTTTTTGAAAGTCGTTTGCGTAGGTGGTGTTGGATTTCGCGTTTGTGTCGTTGTAGGAGATCGTCAGATTATGTACTGACACCCTGGTAGACGCAAACATCAAATTCGGTATCATGGTATGATGAGATGTGGAGGTGAGAAGTACTTACACTGCCGAGCTTTGAATATTACTGAAATAGTCACATAGCTTGTGGCTCATGAAAAAATGTTGAGTGACTTGGAAGTACTCTACTGGCTGGCCTTCGGCTGGTGTGTAGTATTCTCTTTGCTTTTTGCGTCAAACATAACATGGCGTATAAGTGGAGTTGCATTCTGAAAAGGCTATCATCAGCAAACATTCAACATATTATGTTAAATGCATCTATGCTTACTATGGCAGTAACTTGAAAATGATTGGACGGTTTCAATCCCATTTATGTCGAATAGATATCCATACACTTGGCGACGCATCTGTAGTTGAATTGCGTTGCCAGCTTTAGTTTTGCACGAAAAGCAATTCTTGGTCGGTGGTTGAAATGTGCGTTCAGGTATTACCAGCGCTCCTTTGGGTCTTTTTGGCGAAGGAATCCCGTGCGAAGAGAATTGAGAGGCATCATACAGGCATGAGGGCAGGCTATTGAGTGTGAAATACCACAATGATGCCCATGTATCACTGGGCTGAGCTGAGTCGAGACAGGTCTTCAGGAATTCAATCGGCACTTGCGTCGGTCCAGTGCCATATACGCCACCCGTCCTCTTTAGGAAATCGGCAGACAGGTTCGTGAATGCCACAAGTTGACTTAGTGTTAGTGTCGAGTATGTCCTGGGGTCTAAGGTTGTTAGGCGGTCAACCAACTCGCGAAGAAGCATGTGATTGTTGGTAAGTATTCAATGTGATGAAGTATAGGTTGTTGGTGTTGCAAAATGAAAAAATTTGCTACATAGAACTCTCCTGCTGAGGTCATATTGCATAGAACGTCACATTTTTGGGTTCTGCTGATGCGCACGCACGGGGAGCGTTCACGGTCGCGAACCCATTTACGGGTGGATTCAGCAGTAGTTTCATCATACATGCATTAATCGAATACGGGTGCCTCCAGACCTCGTACGTCTGATTATGAGTCTGAGGGTAAATGTGGATTTCATGGGTGGAGAGTTATGGATGTAGATGGGTCAGACTTTAGATCGTGTGATTTGCATTTGTCGTACAGCTGTCCCAATACGCTATTGCAATTTCACACGTTTACAGTCTAGGTGACGTGTGACTTTGTGAAAGATGAGCGTTTTCCAAAAGTAGTGCTCGCCTGTGCTCTGCTATACTACGCTCGCGCGGTTTCTTTACCCTTCGAATTCTCTGTTACATAGAGGCTCTCGGATTCCATGAAGCACTGGATTCTCTGCCTTGAGTCAAGAAACTCATAAGAACCCCGGCCAACTTGCCTTTCATCCTCCGCATCACCCATCTCAACAATCAGATCTCACCAATAAAATTTCATCTTTAAAAACAAGTTTTCTTATTACGCTTCATAGCAATACTATGCGATTCATACAATTACTCATGATTGCTTGTGCCCTAACTGGTCAGTTGACTCATGATTCCTGATATGTAATTTACTTCTTCCTTCATACCTACCTCTCTCCCCATCTACTTGACAGGCACCGTCCTCACCTCGCCAGCCCAAAAGGACACAATGTGAGTGAACTCTTGGCATATATAACTGTTTCTATATGCTCAATTGTGTCATATTGGGCTATACAATTGACAGTAGTACCGGCAACACCATCCTGCAATCAAGAGCAACGGCGGTCCTAGGACTCGGAAAGAGAACGTAAGTCGAGGTTGTATGACTATTCATGAGTTTAACATTGCCTCTAAATTCTTTGACTGATGTGAACATTGTTTCCCATCTACATATAGGGACGACGAGAGCGACAACTGCGCCGACTGTGATCCAGCTGCATGTGTAACTGCCGCTTTCAAGGCCTATTGTGCTAGTAAAGGTTGTGGTTGCTAATTGACGTGGATGAACTGAGACCACAGCGTATTTATAACATTGCCCAGAGATCTTGTGAAGGTACACCTGCCTTTTGTTCCCATGCTTTCTGCACCAGAAGCTTTTTCCAATATCCATCTCGCGCATCTGTTTGTTTTTGGTTTCTTGGATCTTGCTCTCGTACTTTTACAGTCTGGTCTTCCTCAGAGCTCGATATGATCCCGTCCAATTGCTCTTGTTGTTTTGATCTCTTTGCTTCCTGTTTGCTTGACTCTGGTCGCTGTTCCTATGATCTCATATACTTGTGGACATCTTCTGAAACTTCAAGAATTTCATGAAACATCAAGAACTTTTGTTCGATTTTTTTGTCCATACTTTTGATTAGCCAAAAGATCAAAAATCTGTGACGGATTTGTGGTGGAATTTCGATGCTGTGAGAAAAAATCAAAGTTGCGTGACAGAATAGTGACGGCATTTAATTTATAGGCTTTATTATTCTAAGAAATTGATTTTGAGAAGCTGTGGATTGAGGTATGTATCTCAAAAGTCCTCTTAGCACCTCATCAAGTCAAGAACTGTACGATCACGTGGATTTCAAAGTTCCTTGAACCGATCTTTGTCTTTGATGTTGCGCACCATTGAGCATCAGATTGTGGCATCAAATGAGATGTTCCCCGTACGGGAAACCCCGTCTCTACCGCGCACTTCGAGAATAAAACGCGGCCATACTAACCGATATACTATATGAGGACTGTGTCAATTGAATCTCTAATCATTATTAAGTACCACTTTTCACAAATCCAAATTGAAACACATAAATCCTCACCGCAACAGGAAACTCCTACCTACAATCGTATTGTTATTGTTCTCAAAAAGACCAACATTTAAGGATCTGGATATATGAGTCCTTTTCAATAGTTCATCACGATCATAGGTGTCTAGTCTGCTGAAAGAGTAGAGCAGAAAACTTCAATTGATGCTCAAGCTAAATAGATAGAGTTGCAAACCTTTATAGGACCAACTCCATGATGAATTTCATATCCAATCACTCTACGTTCAAGTCATGTTAAGCTTATATATAATAGGTTATGTTTGAGTAGAGGAGTCCTTATACACGAGCCAGTCGCCAACCCCCGTGGAGTATCACATGATTCTGAGTTATACTTTCAGATCACCTTCTCTGATCTTTGATATCAGAGAAGCTCATAACAAATCAGATGAAAAAAAACTTGAAGAAACAGAAGATTCACTAAGCTATGAACATATCTTCAAACCATCAAACTATACAAAGATGAAAAACTTACCAACAAGCTGAGAAAGGTAAAAAGATACAGAAATGTAATTGTAAGGTAGATATGATCAAAAGATTATTGTAAACAAAGAACACTGGAATTCACTTAATGCTCCACTGGATCATGTTTCATACTTTTTTTCATATGATCATAACAGTTTTGTATACTAGCTCATGGGAATCTCTTGCTTCAAACTACTAGAACATGCATTGATTGAGAAATGAACCTTATAAATCCAATAAAATATTGTCACTCTCCATAGAAGAAATTGCAAGATGAAAGAAAAGTAAAGACCAATCGTACGAATTTTTCAAATGTAAACAAAACTGACTCTTTATGCATAACTTGAACTTTTTCATATTTTTTAAATCCCTTGAACCTCTTAAAAAGAATCGAACTACATAATTAATCATCAAAAAACAAAAAAACAAAAACAAACAAACCAACCGAAATATCATTCCGAATTTTCTTTTCTTTTTTATATTTTTTTTATACCTTTCTCCTAAATATGTACACATCTGTATCATAGATTTTGTTTTCATCAAACTTTTCAACTTGTTCATCTTCTCAAGCTCTACACAACTGTTCCATAAAAGACAAGATCAGATTTACAAATGAAACATATATATAGTCTTTTCCATATCATCTTCCGACAGATCGAACCAAAAGATTTTAGTCTCATCACAACAACAAAAATGATAAATCATTTAAACCATACTAAAAGAGATTCATGATCAATCAGATGCATCACTCATATCCATTGATCCTTCTCGATCACTCTCAATAGATTTAGACCGACGAGACCTTAAAGGAATTGAAGAAGACCGACTTCTAATCCTAGACCGATCCCGACTTTCTACCGAATCAGATCGACTTTTAACTCTAGACGATCGACGATTCTTTTCGACCGGTGAATCACTTCTTTCTCTAGACCTTCGACGCGATTCGTTGACATTGACTGATGAAGGAGGACTGTTAACTCTAGATGTAGTTCGAGTAGGTTCTGATTGATGAATGGCACGGAAACCAGGTGGTGGTGGTGTATTAGAGGAATGTTTGGATTTTTTTCTAGGTGATTGTCGGTCAGAATCGATGGATCGAGATCGAGAGATCGATCGAGCTCGAGCTTCACGTCTTGGAGGAGGTGATCTTGAGTCTTGACGTCTGCGCGGTGGTGAACGAGAGAGTGATCGACTAGGTCGTCTTCGACGAGGTGGTGAACGTGAACGTGATCGTGATCGTGATACACTACGTCTTCGCGAAGGTCGATACACATCTGGTTCATTGCCACGATACCGATGATGACGAGGTGGTGGTGGTGGAGGTGAACCAGAAGGAGTTCGACTACGAGGCCGTCTTCTATCATCATCCGAATTTCTTCTTCCACGATGATGACCACCCCCACCCAAAACAGGTTGAATCCGATCCACCAAAGGATGAACAGGCCGACGATTAGTTTTCTCTTGATCTAAAAGTGATCGACGTCTCTCTGCTTCTTCACGTCTAGCTTTCATTTCTTTTTGAATAGCTTCTTGATGTTTTTCACGTTCTTGACGTGATTCTTTTTGTGCTGAGATTCGGATGGCTCTTTCTTGATCTCTCTTTTCTCTTTCTTCTATTGCTTGTTGTTTTTTTTGTAATTGGATCTCTTTATTAAACGCTTCTCCTTCTACATAATTCGATTTTACTCCCATTGCTAATCGAAATTTATCATTCTCTTTAGCTTTCAATGCTGCTAATTCGTGTGCTGATTTTCAAACAAAAACAAAAACAATCATATTAGAAAACCTACCAAAAATTCAAAGAAGATCATAAGAAAAAAAACCCGAGAACAAACTTTGATGAGGTTTTAAAGTTAATTTTTCTTTAGTTTGATCTTCAGATAATAATTTATTTCTTAATTCATTAACTTGAATTTCAATTAAACTTTCATCTAATCCATCTTCTTCAAGTGTGATTTGTAATTCTACACATTTATTTTCGATTCGACGTTTTCGATCATGTTCCAAGATCGAATCATCTGGTTTTCGATGTTTAAATGATGAATCTTGATCATACTTTGGTCTAGATTGGATAGAATGTGAATCTCTTGATTGGATATTTGATAAATTTCTTTGTACATGACCAGAGGTTCCTGATCATTAAGGAATCGTATTGTGAGATCAGTTGGATGGGTCTTGATCGATATAAAGGATCGTTTTGGTGTAAATTACTAACCTGAACCACGAGGAGTAGTAAGTCCGATATTGTTATAAGACATCTTGAGGTTCTATTGAGAGTTGGTTCGTTATCAGTTGGAGTGAGATTGGTTGATGTTGAATTGGCAAATCGAACACTCAAATGTCAGAATCACCTAAATTAAAACACCTTGGCTTAAAATTTAGAGCTTAAGCTTAAGCACTCCATTAATTCTTCACAACTGTTGGCATTTTCTTTTGCATCTTGGATCAAGCATCAAGTTAATATTGATGCATGATAGCCTTCATCAAAAGATACTTTTCATCCACTTTCTATATATCAATACCTCTTGAATTCTGTTTCTGAATAATTTGACCAAAATGCATGCTTTGAAGCCAGCCCTTGGACCGGGACCGGGGGACCCAGACCCGGTCCGAGGTTTCTCCAGGCACCGCATATCATCGGGTTATCAATCCATAAAATCCAAATTTTGATTTCCCAAAAAATACCAAACCTTGCACTCAAAAGTTACCCTCAAACGCTCCAAAGAAGAAAAAAGAAAAACCAACAAATTTCACTCAAGAACCCATCATCACAAAAGAAATATCAAATCAACCTAATGCGTTATGCAGTGTTAGTTTGTGGTAAGTCAACATTCACTCAAAACTTACCAAAAAGAAAATTCAATCAAAAAATCCAACAATAATTATGATTTTATTTTATTTTTGATTGGATTTGGATGAATATAGGACCAGCAGGATCAGGAAAATCAACTTTCACATCTTCATTAATCACACATGCTCAAACCCTCGGCCGAACTTTACATTTATTTAACCTAGATCCAGCTGCTGAAGAATTCGAATATGAACCATCGATTGGTAAGAAAAACGAAAAAAACTAAACAAATCTTCTTTGTATAAATAAAACTGATTTTTCTTTTTTTTTTCTTTCTTTTTGGGGGGGGTGGGGGTTTTGAAGATATTCGAGATTTGATTTCTTTAGAAGATGTTATGGAAGAACTTGAGTTTGGTCCGAATGGTGGATTAGTTTATTGTTTTGAGTAAGTCAAAAAAAATCTCTCTATCTTCTTTTTTTTCATTCATCACTAATTCTTTCAATCATCACTAATTCTCTTTGTTTTTTTTCCATTTTTTTGGTTTTTTCTTCCATTTTTTTTTGGTTCTTTTAGGTATCTTTTAAACAATTTAGATTGGTTACAAGAAAACTTAAATAGTTATGACGAAGATTACCTAATCATCGATTGTCCAGGTCAAATCGAACTCTACACCCACTTTAATCTTATACAAAAAATCGTTCAAGTCTTAATGGGTCAATTCGATTTTAGATTATGTGCAGTTAAGCAAAACGAAAATCTCAAACTTCAAAAAAAACAATTTTTCAATGTACTTACGAATGTTTTTGTTTTGTTTTTGTTTTGATGGTTCGGTTTTCCTTAGACATATTTACTAGAATCAAACTTCATCTCAGACCGACCTAAATTCTTCTCAGGTGTACTATCCGCAACCTCAGCCATGATAAACCTAGAAATCCCTCACATCAACTTGTTATCGAAAATGGATTTAATCAAATCAGGTAGATCATCCGGTTCTGGTAGTATAGACCAAATCGGTCCCAAAGAATTACAAAGATATCTTGATCCTGATCCTGATTTACTAATCAATGAACTTAATTCGAAAACTAATCCAAAGTTTCATACACTTAATCAAGCCATTAGTCAACTAGTAAGTCTTTCCCAGTTTCCCTTTCAAAAACCCATACTTTTTTGGCTCATGGTTTTGGATTTCGAATTCGGGTCGTTTGATAATAGATTCAAGACTTTAATATGGTCTCTTTTCTTCCATTAGACGTAACAGATGAAGAAAGTTTAAGTACGATCTTAAGTCATATAGATAATTCAATGCAATATGGTGAACATGAAGAACCAAAAGAACCAAAGTACAAACCCCTTTCATCATTCGTTCTTTTCCTGGATCTTAAATCTAACGACTTTCTTTGTTTTTTTGTCTTTTTTCTTCTTCTTAGGGATCTTGAAGGTGATGGATGTGAAGTTGAAGTTGAAGAAGTAGATTCAAATTAATCAATCTATCATCAAACTTTATACCTTACTTAAATCTTGCACAGAAAAAGTTTTTAGGTCTTGTTTCCACTTTTGCTTTGGCTTTTTTTTTCAATGATACATTTGGAGGTGGTGTAATACCATCTTACTTTCAATCACCTTTTCTTTCCTTCTGCTCATTTCTTTTTTCCTTTACCATACTTTTTCGTTTTACATATGTAATACATGTATCCTTCAATCTAATATGCCCAAACTTTACGGATTATAATCTCACTGCAGCTTAATGAGTCGTAAGAAAATCAAGAGTCAGACTGTAAGCTCAACATGATATCATGCTTGGTGCCGTACGAAACAAGTACCATAAATGAGGTCACAAGTATGATATGAAAATTTCAACACCTTGCATTTGACTTTTTCAAATCACAATGACCTTATTCAGCCCCAACACAAGGTGGATTTTATGATTGCGACGTAGGAAGTCTATTCCATCTCACCTATTCCAACAATTCCTCATTACCTGGGTTTGATTATGCTCAACTTCAATTACAACATTTCAAATTCACCAACAGCTCAAGGACATAGCTTTTTCTGATCAAGTTTGAATTTAATGTTTGTTTTACATCACCAAAACCATTGCTATACATACCAATCTCAACCCTTTAAAATAAACACACACACACCAACTTTACACAAAACACTGAACCAAACAAAAATAACAACAGACCATCAACAAACCTTAAAAATCTAAAAAACCCCACGATTATCCAAGTTTTAATAAACCTCCAAAACATATCTTTCCTGATCCTTTAACCTTTCCAAAACGTCCATCCCAAGAATCCTCAACCCCTCTACCTCTTCCTCTTCCCTTTCCCTTTCCCTTTCCCTTTCCTCCCTTTCTTTCTTCAATTCCGTAACGATCCCATTCAATAAAACTTGATAAACTTCTCCAACTGGCCAAACCGGACCACACAAATAAAAATGTCCATTAGATTTCATCAAGTATTGGATAATCAAATCTTGATCTAATCTCATTAAATCTTGAATATATTCTTTTTTTCGTAAAACTTTGGGTTCTTTCGATAGATCTGGTTCGAGATCACGTGTGAATGAGAGTCTTGAATGAGTAATGATTCCTTGTGATAAATATTCTTCAATTTCATCACTAAACATCCAAAACGCCAAAACCAAAATCACTAAATTAATTCAATCACAAGAAACTTGGTCTTTTTTTTATGGTCATATAAAGTAAAGAAAACAAAAACACACTTACCCATAAAGAAATTCCGAAACCTTTGAACGTGAACCAAAGTAATACAAAACCGGACCAATCTCAAGTCCAAGCACATGACGTTGAAAAGCTCTTTCTTGAAGAAAAGCTCTAAAAGGTGCCATTCCAGTACCTACAAAAAAACCACTCTTCCATCATCAAATTCATTCGAACAAAATCAAAGAATTCAAATCAAAACAAAAACTAACCTAAACCTGCTAAAATAATAGGTTGACAAACTTCTTTAGGTAATCTCATAACCGATTCCTTCAAACAAACCAACACCGAATCCCCAATTTTCAACTGATTCAAATACCCAGTACATAACCCAATCCTTTCAACCTCTTCATGACCCCCACCACTACCACGAAAAGAAGTTTTCCAATTAACTTCCACAATACATAAATCAAGAATCTCAGGTTGATAATGATACGAACTAGCAATCGAATAATGTCTAGGCCTAATCCTCGGGACCATGTCCACCAAATCATCAAACCCAAACAACGGATCCAAACTCTTTGCATATTTCTTCATCACATCAATATAATTTAATTTATTCAACTCAGTTAATTTCTTGTAAGTCGATTGTCCCAAAGAAGAACCAATAAACTTACAAACCTTTTGTTCATCTTTGTTCGTAAGTTTTTTAGATAACTTATCAAAAAACAATTGATTAGGTTTTCCAAACAAATCTAATACTTGTTGAAACGATTTAAAGATCGTCATATACTGATTCCTTTGTGGTTCAGATTCATTTCCAAACCTCATTTCAATCACTTGATCTTCTGAAAACTTTAACCATTTAATAAACGATCTAATTTCAATTTCATCAATATTCCAAGCATAAATCCCAACCGCATCTCCAACTGAGTATCGTAACTCACTGCTTTGAAGACTTAATGATAAATGAAATACGTTTCGATCATACTCTTGTGGGGTTAATCTTTTGTTTTCAATCACTTTTAGTAAGTATGTTGGGTCGGTTAGGTCTGATCTGGTGACGAAATTCGTTTGATAAAATTCGGGAAACATGATTTGTTTCTTTAGGAGGTTGGACGTCATGGGGTTTGGCAATAAGGGGTTTTGGGGGCGGGATGTGATGGGTTGGGTTGAGGGGTTTAAGATCTCTTCTGGTTTGTTAGGAAGTTTTTTGAGGCTGGGAAGCTCATTCGAGTCTTCTGGTTGCCAAAGATCTGGGATTTGAATAATTCGGATCTGGCTTCGTACTTTAGCAACCAATTCTTGAGTGATCATCTTGTTGGTTTCTTCTTTTCCATGTTGGGTTCGGATTCTTTGAAAGATTTCTTCATCATTCAATTCATTAAATAATAAAACCATCACCCCAATTTCAACCACAACATCTTTTCCACAACCTAAACTTTCAACCCATTTCAATTCACATACTTTTCCATTTCCTATATCTTGATGATTCGAATACGTTTTCCATAACTTATACCGTGTTTGAAGATCAAGTTTGGTTTTTTTAAAATCGGTTGAATGGCTTGATATAAATAAAATGTTTGTGGTCGGTTCGATTTTCGTAAATAAGTCATACGTTTTGTTGATCTGTTTGAAATTCTCAATAACTAATAAAGTAGGTGAACAAGTTTGAATGATCGATTTCATACTTATATCATCCTGATTATTTGAAATATATAACGAATGACGTCTGATCGAGTTCGAATCAGAAGAATTATCGTATTCATTTAAGATTAGATTAGATTGAGTACTTGAAGCAATTCGGTTCGAAAGATGAGGTGGGTTGTGAGTGGTTGAAGGAAGAAGATCCCAAAAAATGATAAGTTTTTCAGCTTGATCGAGCCTTCTTGGAAACCCTTTAATCTTTGACCCATGAATGTTTAAATCGGTTTGGATTTGTTCAATCCATTTTAACGAATCAAGTTGATCCGTCTTCAAAAAAGGTAAAATATCAACTCCTTCAAGTCTTTTATGATCCGATTTTCCTTTAGAAATTAAATTGAATAACAAATCAGAAGAAGTTGAAAAGATTCTAATAGTTTGAGTACTTGGTGGTAAAGCTTTCAAAAACCAATCGAATGACCATGGTTTGAAAACTTTGATTTCGATTAATCCAAGTTTTTGTTTGATTTCTTGGGGTAGTAATCTTTGGATCGTATGTTTTAGTTGGGATGAAGTAAAAGAGTTGAAGAGGATGTATAGATCTGTGGGGGATTCTGAACCAGTGTATCGGAAGTAAGGATTGAATGATTCATTAGAGGAATGGGTTTCGGGTGAGAATATAAAAAGTGATTTATCCAAGATCTCTTTGATTGAGTGTGGATTAGATTTATGAATGTTTATCCATTGTTCAAGTTCATCAGTCAAAGCTGAAGTGGAACCACTTGATTGGATGGTTTGATTTTGATTTTGATTTTGATTTGGTTTAATAGATTGAATACTTTCAGTTTGATCATAAACATGTAAAAGATGACATCCTAATTTACCCAAGACATAAGAAAACTTGATAAGATTAGATTTATTTAATTGATGACCTGAAAAATAAATAACACATGAGTTTCCAAGATTTAGATGATTGATTGATTGATAAAAGTTGAGGATAGCAATCGAATGTTCTTGAGATTGGGTTTGAGAATTTAATGGAAGATGAAGATGGATTGGAATCGGATGAATGGTGTTAGAATTGATGATTAGATCTATAAAATCAGATTGTAAGTATTCAAATTCAATTAAGGATGAGAAATGAATCGAAATCGGTTTATATCCAATATCACTTCCAGCATTTGGTTGGCAAGATTGTAAATAGGAACTAAGAAGACTAGAAATTGATTCTGTTTGACTAATAGTAAGATATCAAGCATTAGCAAAGTAGTCTTCTGATCAGATTGATTTATTAAGGAATTACTTACTAATCTAAATACCAAAGTTGATGTTCTGGATCAGATTCAGTTGTTCTTGATTGAGAATCAGAACCCAAAATAAAACTAGTCAAACTGTTTTCATGAATCTGTTTAATAAATTCCATCATCAATCTAATGTTAATGTGCTTAATGATATCTAATCAAGGTAGAATTGTAGAAACAACAATCCAAAGTCATCGAGTGCAGAGTGCAGACTCTAGAAACCATGTTGAGATTGAAGGTTTTTAAAAAGTGAAGATGATTTGTCATCATCCATCACATCATCCTAATCCAGAATGACTAAAGACAACTTTCATCTGACTGATTTCGAATCGATGACGCAATTTGGTAAAAATAGCTTCTAATCACCGACTCCAATCGGTACCCCCCCGGATTCCATCACGGACTAAACCCCGTCACGCTCACAACACGCAGAGGCAACTTCAGATCAATTATTCAACAAAATGGTCAGCAGCCAGTAAAATCAGAATACGCTCTTAGCCACTCTGAGTCTCGTATGTACACGGAAATTGATGAGTTCAAATTGCAAAAAACCTTTAACGGTCTACATCATCGAGTCAGCTGTTCTTTCTTGACCTTAAAGGATTCCATACGCTTCACACCAATATGTCCATGCTTCATATTTATGATCTGTCAATCTGAAAGTAGAAAGCCTAAGGAATTAAACCCCAAGCTTCTGTAAGGGGCACTATCCACAGGGGCCAAAATCGATGCTCACAACTATGTGAGCGTTGTAGACTTTCCTGAAGTCTCCAAAAAAGATTCATTTTGTTTCAGAATCATTCAATTCATGAGTTTGTTTGTGTTCAGGCAATCAAGCTGTTTTGCTCAGATTTTGCTTGGTATTGCTGGAGAATGCTCATTTTCTTCTTGGATGAGCATTCTTTGGGCTCAGTCTCTGAGATGAGTATTCAGGATCCGCTCATGAGGCATACTCAGATTTTTAGGTTCTATCTACATTCATTAGCTCCTTTCAGCAACAAGCCATCCGACATTCCGAAGTACCACATGTCTACCACCAGATTTCGGAGATTTTAAAGTTTACATGTCACCACTCGAGTAAGATCAGAGCGATTGCGCTACGATATTGTCAGGATCTCATTATTGCATTTCCCACTTTGTTGTGTAAATTCGAAACTGTTCGTGACATGTTGGAGATGTTAACCTTATTGCGATTATCTTGCGAAGGGGAATATGAACATGAGGTGAGTTTTCTAAGATTAACATCATTGTGTAATTATGAAGTGACCAATGTACTGAACCATTTTGACCTATTAGTATACGTCGGTTTATACTTTTCATTCAGCAAGCGCAAACTTGACGATCGAGCTCACAGATGATTATGCGGTACGACATGACACGTTGAATGATTTGAACAAAGCCATCATGTATTGGCTTTTGATAGTAATTGCTCAAGCGCCTCTTGAGATGCAGAGCATCTTTCAAAGATATTTAGATGCAGTTTCTTCTAATGATGCATTAAGATCGATTGGACAGGTGGAAATGGGAAAATCGGTAGCACTGGAGTTAGCCAAAACGCTTCCACCTACCTCAACCGTTTCACATTTCCCATCATGGGGTAATTGTAAAGCGGATTTAGCCAACGATCTTGCTAGATCTTTCTCAAGTCGAATGCTTTACAATGGTGAAGCTACACATCTGTCTTCTTTGCCTGAGGTAGAGTTTAAGTCTAGTCTTGCTGAAATCAAGAAGAATTTACATGAAATCAATGATCAAATCAATTCTGGATTGAAAAAAATGACGATTGAAGATTTGAGTAGTGTTCTTTATAAAGCTGGATCTCATGTTCTAGCCGATTCGAGACCTGATTTAGATTTACTTTTCCATATCGTTTCAATCCCGATCAAAGTTTTCAGTCCTTTATCAATCTCACTTGGACTTGAGCTTTGGACTTGATTAATAGATGTTAAACCTGAGGTAGAAATCAAACTGATGACTGAAGTGATCAATATGTGGGCTTGGACCTTACGTAGACGCAAGGGACTCTTCTCTAGTGCTTGTGATTTGATTAATCCACTCAATCAATCGATCCAATTCACCCCAACTGATCGAGAAGAGATGAAACCTCGACATAATACTGTTAAAAGGATGTTAAAACCACATCACATCCTTTTAGATTTTGTTTTAAGTCGATTTCAAGCTGCAAGATATCAAAATCGAACCTTGGTTTTAATTACAAGCAGACTTTTGAAAAATACGCTTTCGAATGTGAAGCATTGGTCAACTCATCCACTTTCAAGAGAATTGCGGATTAGATTGATAATCTTTGGATTTAGTCTTTGTCAAGGTAGTAGAATGGAAGATAATGTTGAATGCAATTTAAGAGAAGTTTGTTATCTTGCTGGATTGGATTGGTTTAAATTAACACCTAGTTTTAATTTCGGTTCCAATCGATTACAACATGAATCTGAATTAAGATTGTTACAGGATTTATTGGCTATGGTGATTGTTGATAAACCTGTGAATGCTCATCATCTTAGTAGTCTTGATCCTGGTACTAAATTAAATCGATTACCAGGTTGATATGAAGTTTCTCATTTATGACTTTTGAATAGGGTTTTTTGTTGGATATTGAATATGTTTTCTTTGGTTTGATGTAGGTCAAACTAGTGCTACGGTGGCTTCTTTATGTCATTCCGATCGAAATCATTTATTTCAACTTTTATTAGAGAATGAAATTATTCGATTAATGGCTTGGCAAAACCCATTAAGTGATGTGAAAAGAGGCAAAAATGTAGAATCTATAATTTCTAAAGCAACAGGAGAGGTAAAGCAAAGCCTGACTTCATACGATTTTTTTCGCTTTTATCTGTTTTCAAAGGGACAAAGCTGCTAAATCAATTGATTTGATTTTTCTTTATCATAGATTAGATGGAGACAAATTGTACAAACAGCTTGGTCAATTGATCCAGAATTGATGATTAGATTAATGGAAAGATTCAAGTATCCTTATAAGTCAGCACTGTCGGGACGTCCCAGGTGCCCTTATTCTCAAAACAGTTTAGGGTTGGTGTTATAAAACCCAACACGGGGCTAGCTTGACAAAAGCCCAGCCTGCCTGCATGCATCAAGGGATGCCGCTGAGGATGAGCTGAGGGGCTTAGATTAAGTGAGCAGATGGGCCAGCCCTCCCTCAGGCTTCTTTGCTAAGGACTGTTGCCTGAGGGAGGGCTGGCCCATCTCCTCAGTTTCTGTTGATCACATAATGAGCCGAAAAGCAGAAAGAAAAGGGAAACAAATGGAAAACAAATGGAAAACAAATGGGAACAAAACAGGAAAATTTCAACGCTCACATAGTTGTGAGCATCAAGTTTTGCCCCTGTGATCTCAAGTGTTAATGTTAAGCTATTTCCAAAAAAAGGGAAAATCGTCTTAAACCAAGCCATAGAGACTCAAACAGATCCAATCCAAAAGTTCAATAGTAAAATACACACTAATTTTTCAACTACCTATAATATCCATGATGATTATAATAAAACTAAATGTACAAACAAACAAACTGTAAAAATATCATACACTCGCAAAGAAAAAAAAACCAATAATCAAGTAAGAGCTTCCCACTTCTTTTCACTCAACATCATCTACTCTGTTGAAGGCACTGGTACAACAGAAGCAATATACGCTGCAATCCTTAAAAAGTATTGTTCGATAAACTGCGGAAGTTCAGAGTAGGCCATGATCAGTTTTTTTCGTAGAGACGAGATCATAATTATAAGGGATTCAAACTCACTGAGCTCATCCACCACTATCAAACACACAAACAAAAGTTTAAACACATCAGCTAATATCCTTCATCTCTTACCCTGATGATCAATGAAAAAAAAATTGAACCCTTACCTCATGTTCCGAATTATGATCAGTAACAAGATTATGAGCTAATTCGTGCTACAAGTTCAAAATCAAAGGTCAATGAAACTTTCCTACATCCTTTCAAGTATCTCATGGATATTGAAACTTACTGCAAAACTTGAGAATGTTCCAATCAATGCATCTGCAAGAATTCCCTTTTTCACGTGATCATCATACCATCTAAAAGATTCAATAAGAAATATCATGTTAAGATATGATCGTCTCGTGTGCTTTGACTTGTTTCAATTCATGGAAGTCAAACAACTTACGCTAAGTAATATCGAAGGTTGAAAAACAAGCTTCCATTCTTATTGAATGCAATCACCGGTCCTTCGAGATCATAAAAGACATGTAAACTACGAGGATCGATATCGAAAACCTCTACAGAGAGACGTACAGATTCGATAGATCAGCCTATAGACTCAAAAGATCAGTCTGATCACACCACAACATACCTCCTACAGGTTTGATGACCTTTTCTACATAACGTGTCAAAGCATCTCCATACTCCATCATCACCATCTCACCACTACTCACTTGTCTTGATACATAAAATCGTAATCCACCAACGGTTGTCAAGAAAGATAAATCTTCTCTTGCTCCACTCGGATCACAATAAGATTGTTCAGATTCTTTAACAGGTTTGGTGTCTGGTTTACTTCGAATGTCATTGTTCGTATCCGGTCGAGAAACATTGATGGCTTTGATCAAATTAGATCGAATGTCTGACATGGGTGTGGCCTGTGGAGATGTAAAGTTTGATGTCAAGCAGACTGCTTTGGATGTTTAAACTTGATATAGGGGACAAACCTGTGATGGGGGTGGAAGTAAAGATTTCGGCCGGGGTCCTTCGAGAGAGGGCGGATGAGGGGAAGATTCGCCAGCCAGCGGACTATTTGGTTTAGAGCTCGTTGTTTCATTATTGAGAAGTTTTCGTCTTAATGAACTGAACAAACCACTATGTTGAGGTGATATCTCAGGTACAGGAGGTGCAACAGGCTTTTTCTTATATGCGCCATGTTGGAATTTCTCAGATACTCGTTTGAGATGATCCTCCTTTTCTGATAGTAAAGCTTGTCTAATAAAATCTGGATCTGCATCCGGAAACTTTCTTTCAAGTTCTTGAGATTGAGTCTCAAGTTTATCGGGAGTTAGTTCATTCGCACTATCCAATTGCATTTGTAACTTTTGCTCTCGTAATCTTTGTTGATTAGCTTCACGTTCGGCCTTTCGAGCGTTGATGATACTAAACCAAGAGATCAGCATGATGTAAGTTTTTCAGAAAGTGTGTGGCGTCGGCGAGAATGTATATCTGTGAAACGTACCGATCCACATTCACTCCTCGCCTTTTTAAATTCTTCAGACTAGTCTGCAATATGGTCATCTGGCGAAAGACACTCAAATTTAGCTACATAGATATGTAAAGTAAGCCAAGACAAACGTACGAAGAACAAAGAGTCGCTAAGCTTTTGGTGAGCTAATATATGCTTGCAGACAGTGCTCGCAAGCTCGAACCAGTCGATTTCAGTCTTCCGAGCAAGGTAAATGACCATACTGTTTCTGTTTTCCATTGAAGCTGTAGCAGTAGCTTGTAAAACACTCGAGTGTTTGGTGCCAAGATAAATGAGGTCTCTCTGAAGAGCGAGGTGTTCGACTTGTTTGACCACCTATATCGACTAAAGTCAGCATCGAAGTGTGATGATAACAATGAGATCACGAAAGAGACAAATTACCAGATTCCGTTTCATCCACTCTGCGTCCCTAATCACATCATTACGAACTCCTTGACGCTCATACAGGAATAAATGACATCGCTCAATGATCAACTGACGCATCTCTCGGGTACGTTCATTCTCTGGATTGACACCCTCTATGTGAAACTTTTCCTTCAAGATCTTGGTCAGACGTGAGGCACCAAGAGACTGTTCAAAATCAATTGTCAACAAAGCTTGTCAATATAATTCTACCGGAGAATGATACACATCTCATCGGCTTACTTCGGCTAGATGTTCAAAGACCTCTTCTTGCGGGCATGCGATAATGATACTCGTAAATTGTGAGTAAGAATGTGAATCATCAATGATAACCACATCTCTGGGTAACGCAAGGACGTGAACGAAAGGCTGTCCAGCTTCGATCTCATCATCATCATCATCGTACACTAGTGCCTTCTCTCCCGCCGTTCCGCTCGGCGAGACTCTACGCGAACCTAGGATAAACGCAGACTTTTGCATGGCCTGTTTGAGACCATGACCGAGTAGATGTGCATTAGCTGCGATGTTCCGCAAGACCTGTAAATATTCCTCGGCAGAACCAGCCAACGCGTAGAACTTAGCAGGATCTGCGATCAACATTTCAGTGATCTCTTGGACGGTAGGTTCGTTTTTGACACCACAAGCTAGTAAGAAAGGCTTCGATGCCAGTCCAAAGTCAATGTATGTAAATAAGCTCTTGAATGGGCCACTTTTCACAGAATTTTGAGGTTGGAAGAAACATGTACTGGGCGATGCGTGAGAGCCTTTAGCGACAGGAATGATCGAAGCATTCTTCAAGCTTGACAGCTCTGATTGTGAGAAATCTGCTACTCTGGTTGATAGATATTCATAGATTAGCTTAGCCTTTGTTGTATCGCTAGGAGGTTGTTCGATGAGCCTTTTCATAAGTTGAGCTGATGAAGGATTCTGTTTCATTCCAAATTTTTGATAGTCGACCATGTATTTGTCTTGGAGCACTGGAAATCCCATGACAGAAGCATCTGGGTTCGAATAACATTCAAGAGGATTGACCAAACCAGTCGTACAAGGGACATAAGCTGGAGTTTGGGAGTTTGGTCGATACAAAGATCGATAATCTGCAAAGTGTTCAAGGAAGAAAGCCAAGGCTTTCTCGCGTAAGGAACCGTCTTGGGAGTTGGCAGCAATCTTCAAAAGGACATCGATGGGTGGGATCTTATTCAGTCCTAGGAAGAATAGTAATTTGGCTTCTTCTGATGTTGATCTCCACTTCACGGGCCATTCGACAAGGGGGAGTTGAAGTTCACGATTGGCCGGTGTAGGCTCATACAATTGACTAGCCGCATGTCGGATAGTTTTTGGCTTCCTGACTTTGCCATCTGGTCCAGGGATGGGTTGGACTTTGGGTTCGCCATCTTTTGGAAGCCAATTTGTGTGTTTCAAACGATCGACCTCGACATCAGTGAGGATGTCTCGTACACTCACTAGGTATTTAACCAAATCTGCATGATTCCACTCCCCACTTCCCAGGAGTCTTGAGAACACCATTTGTAACTGACAGATTGGATGTAAGGTACAGTCAGTCTTGACATAGTCATCAGGGTATCAAGGAAGGGGCGTGAAGCGGCAGTCCATACCTCGACATGTTTTCGAACCCCAATTGCAGTTAAAACTTTCTCCATCGCACCTTTTACAGGCGTACCACTGGGAAGACATACCACAGCCAGATCCTGGAATAATGTTACATTTGAATGATATGCCTCAGATGATTTACGCATTCCATGTCGCGTAGGAATGAAGACTTTCTCCTGAAGATAAGACGAGATCTCGCGTTGAAGTTCGGCTGACAGACTAGACCACGCCTTTGCCAAGATATTGAGGAATTTTTCTGCAAATATAGGAGATTCGCTGATACTGTCGACTCCCTTGAACTCGGCAGAGAAAAGATGAGTCGTAAAATCCAAGAGGTTGAGTTCATTGAAGCCAAAGACTCTTTTCAGTGAATCGCTTGACATCGATTTAGTTAAAGCAAAGGGTAGACAATGAGGCGGGGTAGGTACGTCGGCAGGGATGAGCTTGACATTGACAAAAGTCTTGACAGAACTCATAGGCATGATTACCTCGGCGACCTCGGGAGCAGTCTTGGTAGCAGGAAGAGAATCCGGTGTGGAACTAGGCGAAGGTGGAGAATATTGGAACACCGCAGATCTCAAAAACCGTTGAACTATTGAGCGATCGTAACCTTGAAGTCCTGTTAGCCCTATCCACCAGGTCATACATTCTCGCATCTCATCTACGGTAAATACTCTGTTTTCCAACTCTTTGAACACATCTTCGAGGGAAATCTCCGATATCAGACGCCGTTCACGTAATTTGGTGATCATCAGCTGAGCATTTTTGGTGACCTCAATAGGTATGACAGGGATGTTTTTGAGAAATGTGGCCAATTCCGGATTGGGTAGCCGAACATTGATGGCGGACTGTGGACCTGATGATGATGGTACAGTAATAGTACGGTTCCGATCACATTGAAAAAAGCTTTGTTCGGTATCAAAAGAAACCGTTCCAGCTGGTGTCGATGAATGAAAGGTAAAGAATTGCATAGCATGAAGTGCTCGACTAATAAGCCATGTTCGTGTGGAATCAGGAATATTCTTCGTCCAAAGTGTTGCAATCTCCTTCATTTCGCCCTCATAAATCATTCTAGCTAATATTCCTCCAATTGCCAAAAGTTCCTTGTTCCAATCAGCGACATATTTGGCTTGAAGGTCGAGAGATTCACGCTCGACTGTGGGTATAAAGCGCGCAGCGATCGAACCGGCAAACCCAGTAGTCTGATGGGTAGGAAAGCCTATGAAAACTCGACCTTGCACTTCCAGGTCTGAGATGAGCCCGTCAAAAACAGCTCTTGCCCGTTTGTCCCCGATTAGTCGCTTAGAGTCGCTATCCTCAGCACTGCTCTCTTTACCCGCGTCGAATTCGTCCTTGTTGGTCCATACCAATTGATATTGAGTTTTTTTAGGCGGCGGTTTTTTTGTGGCACGTTCGAGCTCAGAGCTGAAAGCAGCTGGGACGCTGACATTGACGTTTCCTGTGACAACACGCAAGAACAAACTTGCTTTCAAGCTTATCAGGGGCTCGGCGTTGATGGGAGTTTCAGTGGGCGCGGGGAAATGTGATGGGGATACCGAAGGAGTTGACTTTGAGGTAAATGCGGAGAGCATTCTGGATGCAAAAGAAGAGGTGGTGGCAGCAGCTCCAGCAGGACTGAAAGATGACGCTTTGCTTTTGGTGTTGAGTCCCTGAAGTGTCAATCGAAGCACAGTAGCGTCGATTTGAACACTGGTTTGATCCACAGCAACAATTTTCATCATCTGCATCGGAGCGAGAGCACTGAGATTAGATGGTGGAGTGAGAGTCTGAGGTGGTGCAAGTTTCTTTTCCAATTTGCATAAGAGATGATTATCGAAATACAAGCTCAAGACTTTGATCTGAGTAGTAAAAGCCAAACTCGTGGCGAGAAATCGACTGAATTCAAAGGGAGGTGGAATTGGTGAAGGACTTCGAACATCCATCACAAATGTTGTCCAGGATGAAGGACTTGGATTCGTTCCTTTACGGGTCACTAGTTGATCTGGATTCTTTGTACTCCAGCTAAAGCCCATGATAGAATTGCCAGACATGACTATAGGGGAGTCACAAATCGACCACAGAGCGTAGAATCCAACCTATGATGATGGATGTACACAACGCAAGGTTGAGCAGGCGATATATACATCAGTAGAATCTAAGGACGTACACCAAAAGCTCCGATTTTGCTATTGAAACACCATCATAGTCAGCGCATATATCAGGCAAAACCTGAAGTTGAAGGTACACATGAAACGTACGATTCATCTGGGTTTCCTTCAGCGATTTTCCGTAATCTTGCTGGTAGAGAGACGCAGAAATAACAAGGCGGTGTTGAGGATATTGAGAAAAAGATGATCGAAATCAGCTCCCCGTCTAATTGTGAGTCAGTTCAGCCATCAGCAACTGACACCAATCTTGTTCCCTGAATGGAATCCCATTGTTTCTCGCCACAACCCTAGCAATCTTGTGAGTCTTGAGGTCAGGAAGTGGTTCGTTTGAAGGTGCTGGGCTTGAGATATCAGATTCAGTTGAAGATAAAAACTTGATCTCGACCTCAGTTGCTGAAGCATCGTCGGCGTTTTGTAAAAGTTCCCTAAAGACCGTATTCTCTCCCGAATAACGCGCTAAGACCTTATCGATTAAAGCCCTTTGATTCACTTCAACGGCTTCATCCGGTAAACCCTGCAAGGCTTGAGCAAAGTCTGCCATGAGCTTTGGATGGTAAGATTATCGAGTAGGAACCGCTCCAATGTCAGTGTGAAGACCGATGATTGGCGATAATGGTAGGTGTAAGGTAAACTGAAAAGTATGGATTGATTGTTGAAAGGAAGTTCCGAAGAAAGGAAAACAAAGAAAGAAAGGTAGATTAGACCTTGGGTGAGAGCCGTTGCTGTTGGTCATCTTTGCAACTTTCATTCACCTCGTAACGATTTTCACCACATGTAGACACAACGTCCTCAGAGCATCCCGCTGACGGGCTGAAAGGACACTTCGCCAGGTCGGGTCGGGTCACTCCAAGAATTTTGATGGGCCTGTTGTCTTGATCAACTCACAGAATGTGTGGCAACTGGTCTTGAACACCCATCACCTAATTAGAATGATTAAAGGGAATGAAGGTCGGAAATTTTGAGCAGTGTCTCGCTAGACTTATAATCATAATGGGACCAGAACAATCAATATGAACATTGTGTAGAAGTGAGATTGTGATGTGACACACGAAATGTATGGATAGAAATAAATTACAGAGGTCTGAGACTGGTGGATTCACTTTATCTGATTAGCCAGTGATTATTCTGAGGCTCCTGTCACATCTCTTAAGCTTTGAAAGTTATCAATCAGCAACAGATTGGGAGGTGCCTCAAAGTATGCTTTGAAAGAGTGGGATTCACCTGAAATATCTGTTATGAGATGGAGTTCAAAGATTGATTTATCAAGTTGGATAAGAGCCAAGGATCTCTTAATGATCTTCAAATGTGATTTCTTCAGGGACAGCCTGATAGTCAGAAGGAAGTTGAATTTGTGGATGTGATATTTGCTGTGCTCTTGCAGTGTGAAACTTTTACAGGATTCTGATATCTGTAATTATGTTGAGTTGAGAGATTGGTTTATTGAATCAGGATAAAGAGTATAGTGGGAACCATCAAGAGGCAAGAAGCCATGGACCAGGTAATTTGTAATTACAACAAACAATCTTATTTTCATCTGGTGCACCCTTGACCGTCAGAGATAAAAAAACAAGACCTTTGAAGATTGGTCTCCTGAGGATATTTTGAATAGCCCTGAACAAGAGGACCCCAAAAATATCTTGATTTTTGAATTGAGTGATATTTGTGACTACAGCAATCTTTTTTTGAAAAATTATCAGATCAAGTGGCTCTTGATGGTTCCCACTATACATCATGACATAATTTTCAGTTTTGATTCAAAGATGGCCCGCTGGTCAGAAAGCTTCAGAAAGACTTGTTTGATATATGCCTATGGTGTGTGCTGTGTTCTTCAATGTTTCAACATTACCTACCCTAGTCACAGATGCATCATAATCCGATTGTCCCTTTAATGTTGGCACATCTTAATATTGAGTTGTATACATATATGATTTCATATCTACTTCTGTAGGCTTTTGATCCTTCTTCACTTGAAGTTGTAATTGTGCTTACCTCAACTTGGTTAGTTTACCAGCATAAAAGAAGTCATAAGAGTATTGTGAGAAGGCAGGAGTGATCAATGGTATGATCAGAAGTATGATCAAAACACTATCTGCCCAAGACCTGTGACTGAGGGTGCAACCTCTTGTTCATTTAGTATGTGTGATTGCACAAATACTCTTTTAACTTGAAGCATGACTCCACCTTGGTTTTAGGGTGTTGACAAGTTTTGGTTCCTTGATTTTTCTAGAAGCTAGTTATGATATAAATCATCCCTCCTTAGGATACAAATCACACTGAGGAGATCCACACGGCCTGTCAAGTTAATGAGATCAATCTAGATCCATCTGAATCCACACAATCCTTGAGTGCATCTTGAGACAACAAATGAAACTTTTGTGAATCATCACCCAGTGATGATGGTTCTCAAGGGAGTGAACTCCCACAAATTCCTTTTGATTGCAGAACAGAACGTTCTCAAGTTTAGACCAATGTACTAATACATTGCAAGGCTAGATTCTTGCCAGACTTTATCAATTATGTTCCTGCTACCCATTAGAGCATGATTTTCTGGTGCATATCTTTTTGAATAATTTTGTTAGTGTAAACATTTACGGTACTCAAAGTTGTGTATACTTTGCCGTGTATAGTTTTTTTTTGTTTTTTTGAAGCTAGACACAACCTGGAAAAAGTATGTCTTTTGTTTGCAGCTCAAAAATATGTACCTCTGAGCCAGAAACATAGTTTTTCCTGGCCGTGTGTAGTTGTGAAAAAGAAAAGAAAAACTATGTACGGCAAAGTATACACAACTTTGAGTACCGCTATTATTTAACCCCATTTAACATCATGCTGCCACCAAAACCTGAATCCTCAGGCTCGTGGTAAGCTTAGCAAAGCCCTCTCTGCGCGACCATCACAGAGAGGCTTGCGACTGATCTTGAAATTCAGTCAGGAGCACACTGCAAATCAAGTGTTATCAAGTAGTTGTTTGATTTTTGTTGCTTTCCTCCATGATACGGCCACGCAGTAGGCACTTTGTTAAGGTAAGGCCTGTTAGTCTGCCACTTTCTTGCCCAAATCACCTTCCTTCATAAATGCCAGCTCATTACAAAATCAGACTCGCAGGACATTGCCAGGCAGCCAAAAATCACTAGAAAACCAGTAGATATTGCAACTTGTGGTCAATTGCACTCTCCAGATGGTACGATGTAGAAAGAAGCTTGTACTATTGGCAAAGGTAAGTCAAGAGTGAAATTGACATGCTGTTTTTTTCTGGATAATCTCTACCGGGTCCACATGTGGTAGGGTTCTTACAAGGATGATAAAGGATCAAAGAAACATGGACCTAAATAAAAAGAGCACTATTTGTAAAGAACATGTATGACCGGGAGAAACGAAGACGAAATGCTGGTACAAGGGTGTAAAGTTTGTGTGGAAATCGCCAAGAACGGCTGGAAAAGGGATTAAAATCAATCGAAATCGATCTTTGTCAGATTGATAGAAAAGTGAGTTGAAGATGGAAATACTCTTGACAAACCCAATTCTTCCCTATTCATCATCATCTTCCACAGGCAACTCGCATGCAGGTGCGCCATATCTGCAAGTCTGATTGAAAAAGACATCGTTCGGACATAGAGGAGTTTGGTGTATCCTCTCGCATATGTAGGGTATGGAAGTCCCATCAGGGTTTGTTCCACAGTCAGAGTCTTCGATGTTCTCTGAGGCTGAGCAGTAGTTGGCGCGGTCACAGCATCGCACAACCAATTCCTCTGCTCTGCTGAAGGTGCTGAATAAGGTGAGAAGCATGAAGCATAGAATCGCAAGATTGATGCATTTTTTGAGAGAGTGGGCGCTCTGGAGAAGAGACAGAAAGAGGCCGAAACTGTGTTAAATTGTGAAAGGGTGGGCTGGATCTTTGAAAGTGAATGTAACAGACCATTTTTTTGTAAAGTTTGTTGGTTAAAGAAGAACTGAAAGTGTTTTGAGGTGAGATATTTGTGTATGTATCTTTTTTATGGAGAGAGTCGTGAGGAGATCATCGCAAGGGTCCTTTATATAGTCAACAAAATTCAGTCAAGGCCGAATTTTGAACTCCCTCATTAGACCTCATTAGACATGGTTAAATTGAATTGCTGTGAGTATGCAAGTAGCTGTGATTCGAATTTGAGGATGATGACGAGTTCTGCTGTGATGGAGAATGCATATCATGATGCATTCAACCTTGAAAGACAAACATTGAAAATTGAAAGAGCTGTGTTGCGCAATTCGAATTTGGTTATTGATGGTCCATGAAGCAGCTGGATATCATTTTTTCAATAATCTTCATGTTCCGGCCCAAGAGCATCAGTAGATTATCGGCTTGGACCTCTCAACCTTGTCGCACTGACCCCTTTAGCCCTCACCAAGTCCTCTTACTGGGCACTAGGAGCGAGCTTCTAGATACGAGAATAGGTCACAGTGCCGACTGTCACGTAGCCACGACGAAAGATAGTAAGCCATTCACGTCGTCATCATTGCTCTGCTGTGATACTTTTTATCACACCGCTGTGCTTCTTTACCATCTCCGATTCTATCACTCCTTACCTTTACCTTTGAGGTGGCTCTTTACCCTCTGGTAAATCATATAGGACGTGGAGGCTTTCGAACTCCGGTTCTGCCCACTTTATTATGAATTCTCTTAGGAAAATATAAAAAGAATCTTCCTATTTAGTATTTTCATTATCCAAGAATTATATTCATCTCCGTGATCAGAATATAATTTCTTCGACCCACCCTTCTCTCCCTCTTATGACTGTAATACTTCTTAGGCCGCCCCACGCAGACCTCTTTTTATGCCTTTGAGTCTTTTGCTTATGTACTTAAACCTATCCCGATAGCTTTACATTTATGCAAAAAGGGCTCCATGCCCCGATTCTAGCTAAAACCATCTCTCGTGAGTTTTAGCGTAGATCACCCACGAGCACCCAGACCTATTCTCCTCTTGCCATTGATGGATTCATCTGATGAGTGATTCCTTGCTGAATTGGATCTCAACCTAAATCCGCTGCTGCCAAGGACTGTCTCATATGATACAGAGATTATCTATAGGCTACAATTTCAGTTGTCTTGTTTTGCAACATTTGCATTCACAAGTTAGATGGAAATCGATGTAAAAGGAGCTCGCCTGTCGAAGAATAGCCACGAAAAAATACCACAATGCTGAATTCAGCTCGTCGCGAATAACCCGGGTGTCATCCGTACGCTCCGCTCATACAACATGCAAACAACGCGATTGGCACAGCAGAAACTTTACCACTACCTAATTTTACCCTCCCGTACCGGCAATCATAAAATGACCCTGACTTATTGAAGAATTAGAGGTGATTGATCTCAACGTAGCCATATCATAGAAGCAGACTGGGATCGCTTTGACTTCATGAGGTATGGTCTTGTGGCCGGCTCAGCATGTCGGGTGTAGTGGTGCGGAGGTTGTGTGGGAGGTGCGCGCACATGATGTAGACTTGCGAGCCGTCAGCCGCTGTTTGATGACAAAACCAACAAATTACACTGGTTAACCTAACATTAACCTAACAACCGATTCGATTGGATTGGCCCGCCGCCGTTCTTACCCTAACTCTAGGCTGTCGACACGCTCACGAGATGAACTCCACCCTCTGAATCGGCCACCCTTCCTGTAATACTTATCTTTTTCTCTTCGGTTCGAATCTGTGAGTCGACCTATTCCAACAATCCTACTTCCTACGTCTGATCAGGTTCCTCTCGGTCTCAGCTTTAGGTAAATCGAAATCAAAATGGCTGTCGGTAAAAACAAACGTCTATCAAAAGGAAAGAAGGGTATCAAGAAGAAAGTAGCTGACCCATTTACCCGAAAAGGTCTGTTCGATCATTGATCCGGCTTCAACTCAATTTACGAACATGACTGACTTGATGGTGTATCCAAACAGACTGGTATGATGTCAAAGCCCCTTCAATGTTTGAAAACCGCAACGCAGGCAAGACCTTCACCAACCGATCCTCTGGAATGAGTCAGTCAACTTCCCATGGCCAATCATTCGACACTGCACTGACACTATATCTGCACCTTCAGAGAACGCCAACGATGCTCTCAAAGGCCGTATCATTGAACTCTCCCTCGCCGATCTCAACAAGGATGAGGAGCAAGGTCAGATTGTTTTGCCTGCGGTGTATTGTCCAGATCTTTCGACTCAATTTTTATCCTCTGCTATTCTCGCTAGCCTTCCGAAAAATCAAGCTCCGTGTGGACGAGGTTCAGGGCAAGAACTGCTTGACCAACTTCCACGGTATGGACTTCACCTCCGACAAGCTTCGATCCCTCGTCCGAAAATGGCAAACTCTCATTGAGGCCCACATGGACATCCGAACAACCGATGGTTACCTCATCCGACTCTTCACCATTGCCTTCACTAAACGTCGACCCAATCAGATCAAGAAGACCACTTACGCCAAGAGCTCTCAGATCCGAGAAATCCGACAGAAGATGTTTGAGATCATCAGCCGGGAATGTACTAGCTGTGACTTGAAGGAGCTTGTCAGCAAATTTGTCCCTGAGGTTATTGGTCGTGAAATCGAGAAGGCTTGTCAAGGTATCTACCCTCTCCAGAACGTTTACGTTCGCAAGGTACGCTTTTCATATCTGATCTGTCCAGCAATGACCGCGTCTAATGTCTTCTTGCTATGTAGGCCAAGATCCTCAAAGCGCCTAAATACGACCAAAACAAATTATTCGAGCTCCACGGCGAGTCTGGATCTGATGAGGCTGGCAAGAAGGTTGTCGGTGAATTCAAGGAGCCAGCACCTTTAGCTTCAGTTTAAGTGATTGATGCAATGTCACTGCGAGCCCCTCTCGTAATTTCGCGCCCTTGCGCACCCCAAAACCATGCGTTCAAATCGCGCTCTCTACCTGATGTGTATCGAGTACCTCATCACATAGATTGTTTTCTTATTATGCTGCCAGTCTTTATGATTTGATGTATGCCCTATCCTTCACAACCTTACTTGATACAATACCTATTTGAGTTAGTCCCGATGTCTCTGCTTGACTAGCACGCTAGCATTCACGCATGAACTGCAGTTTTCTTGTGGAATGAAACATAACTATTTCATCGCCGTACATGCCTTGTTTGCCTTCCACTCACGTGGTGAAGCCGTGACCGCAAAATGATTCTCGAAGGTCAAAAGCCTTTGCCGCCTCTTGCCTCTGTTTCTAGGCGTGACGGTGTTGAGGAAGCTGGGTAATCATCTCTCCCTTCATGTCAACATGTCTGTATGACCTTTTGGCACATCACCCCGGTGCCCAAGACTGTCTTCCCCGGCATTGCTCACTTGACACATCACCCAGGAGCCTAAGACCGTTTTCCCCAGTATTGCTCACCTGGTGTGGAGAGATTCATGTGCAAGAGCGTGCCCTTGTTACTGCAACACCCAATGTGAAATGTGTCATTTTCAGTCATCTTGTCTTGCAAATTCCCCTTCCTCATCTACTTTTACTTTATGTCTTGTGGCTCTTCTCTCCCTTTGCTAGGAATTTCTTGACTTTTGTCTCAAGACTTGTCACTTGTATGGTGTCTCTACTCATGTACTTCAATCAACACTTTGTTTAATATGTCTTCATACATCAACCCAATTGAAACCAAGGCCTCACTTGAAAACAGAAGCAGAACACATGAGGCAAAATTCAAGAACATTTTGGAGATGATTTTGGAAATGTGATTGTGTGTGCTTGTCAAAAAGTGTTGTACTATAGTAAGTCATGGGTCATATGTTTGACATCAATTCAACTATTTTTGAACACTTGTGGGATCTCAATTTATGCATGGCTCATGCAGGTCTTGTGAATTCTTCCAATTCTTCCTTGATATTTGGCAAGTTTATTTCCTTTCCTCTTGGCTGTGCTTTAAATCCTGTTTCTGTAACAGAGGTGATTATCAAACCTATGTAGTTTCTTCCAGGGATCAGGTCAATGTTTTGAAGAAGATTCTTCAATGTTGTTGTCTGTCAGAGAGTTTTTGGTTATGTTGTGGTTTTCCCTGACCAGCAATCCAGGTGATCTAAATATGCACTTATCTTAGACAAATTGGTTTCAAGGGTGTTGATTGATGAAGTCAAATCAAGAGTATGAGTAGATAGGACTCCAGAAAGTTCCCCCTAAAACAACCAATGTAGTTATGATTCAAATGGTCCAGATTTTGTCATGTTACCAACAAAACCAGTATGAAAATGGCTAGTTGGTATATCAACTTACAGAAATGCCTGGTTTGATTCTTGGGAGCCTTTTGGGAATTACCACATACCAATGTGCTTGGTACCAAATGTTATAGAAGCATAGCTTTGTAGAGTAAGCCAATATCTATAAACTTTCCTTCTGCTTCTGATTCTGCAAAGTGTTGAAGATTGTAATAATATATCTTGAGCATAGATGGCAACAATGTGGTCTCACCATATGCAAGAGCACACACCATTCAATCAAGTCAACAAGCCATGCCATCCTGACAGGCCATTGTGAGGCATATCCTTCAAATCTTGTGATCCGTGCAATTATTGCCCTTTGGGTGTTACCAATGTGATTGGAATGAACATAAGGGGCTCCTTTTCTGATCTCAATGACAATTTTGAAAATCCGGGTTTTACATTGGTTGGTTCCGGGGGAGCTTTCTAGGGTCCTGGGTAGATCTATCAAGTTGAGTGGTGAACTTGTGGAATTCCTTATATACACCCTTCTGAGTTCACCCTTGCCCACCTTTTTGACACTAAACACATAAGTGATAATTTTGTCTGAGGCTCTCACTAGATCCCCATAGACTAGGTTCAAGGTGCTTGCCCTGGTTAACCTTTATGTGGATCTCTTCCTCTCTGATACCTGCTGGGACTTCTTGACAACAAGGCAATTTTGAAGCTGGTGTAGCTTTTCTGAGTGAGTGGTTTCAGGATCAACAAATCATGATAAAAGTTTTGATCACCCAGCAACTTGCAACAAATGGTAAAGTGTGCAACTTCGTGCTGTATCAACTTTTCTCATTATTATTGTTACATGTTCTTTCTTGGATTTTTGTGTATGTATGTTTAGACTATCTGTATCAAGTCATTCACATTGACTGGGTTTATAGGGCATCATGATGAGCCAGTAAAGAATATCCAGGTTTCATGTGACCTGATTAACAATTCAAAAAGGTAATTCAAATGATCTAAAGCTCAAATCAAACACAAAAACTCAACCTCCAGCTTACACAGCCTGTCTAGCTCTTGATGTACAGCAATGTGCTGCCTTTTTACAGAAACAAATTGTGAGGGTACCTTCTACAGCGTCAGAGGGCCATTGATAAATGGGTTCAAATGGCTAGAGAGTTTTCTTAGCAATATGCATGTGATTCCTGATATGAACCCTTTCAAGATCAAGAGAACCAAGGGACCTGATTTGTGACCTGTTGCGGCAGAAAATCAACCACCTTAGTCTGAGGATGTCAAAGAAGTTGTCACCACACCAAAAGTGACAAAGAAACCAGGACAGTGCAAAGAATTTATGTCATCCAAAACATCACCTTGAGCCGATGTAAGTGATTTTTGTTAATCTAAACATAAAACTTTGAATGAAATCCAGTCTGAGGATGTTGGGGAATTCTTCACCACATCAGTCCCAAATACAATACCTGGTCAGTGCAACAAAATGATCTATTCTAAAAATTACCTTTATCCAATGGAAGCTCTTGACTTTTGTCAAGCTAAATGCAAGCCTGTGAAACAAGCTACCATCAAAAGTCCTACAGTACCAATGGGTGAGTCCAGCAACAACAATGTAGTTCTAAAGAATAATTTGGTATACACTTCTCCTCTCCTTGCTATCCAAAATTTTATATTTGATACATGGTTTCTTTTATCATTTTTTCCACATATTTTATCAAGTTTGTCTTTTCTTGATTTGCCTTGATGTCCTCCTGATACACTCATAACGGCTTTTACTGCTTTTATTTCTTTGTTTTTTCAGGTTTGCTCAGTCATCAATAATAACAATATCTGTGAAGAGTGCAAGCATGGCAACTCGTTGGTTTGTCAAAAGCCAGGGTAAAAGTCATTGATTTTTGGCATAAAATTGCATTTTACCTTGTTGATTTGTGATTTTGCACTATGTATTTCTTTTACACTGACTCTTTTGAAATTGCATTTTTTGTGACAAATCTATATTTTTACACTGGGTTTTTTTACACCAGGTGTTGTTGGTGTAAAACCCTCATTGTACAAATATAGACCACCCCATGGCTCCACATCTTTACACAACAATTCCTGCACTGGATTCCTTTACACAGAACAAAAAATGAAACAAGTATAAATTTCTGAATTGAGGCCTTTTTTCAACTTTTACACCAGGGAATTCTGTGTAAAATCACCCCTCCCCTTAATTAATCGGTACAGGGTTATATGATAGAACAAAGAATTGGGATGTCTGGCCTTCCCACAGACACAAAATGGGTTGCACAAAGGGACAAATGATCACCAGTGTCTCCACTTTTTCCAATCTTCTGGGAAAGTAAACACACATGCCTTCCTTCTTGTCAACTAGCCTTTGTCTCAGGCACCCAATTGGGACCTATCATGAAAATAACAGTGGTGATGGTTCAAGTTGTGCTCACATGCCATCCTGCAAGCTTCTCTTCTAAATTTGATGTTGGCCTCTGTTTTCCAATCCATGACACAGCATGAGCAGACAAAGGGTGACTTTGTTTTGGAAAACCAACTGCATTCAAAACATATTGTATTTTCAAACATCCATGGGTTTTTTTCATTCCTTCTGATTCTTTTTCAAACCCCATGAAACTTGCATAATAAAAAATATGAAAATGTGACCACATTGCAGCTGTTGGATCATAGGCAACGCAACATGCAAAAGAAATTGTGGGCGGCCGGAATCGAACCGACATTTCCACGGAATTGTGATGTGACCACAACGAGGTTTCCTAACCATTAGAAGACGCCCACGATGACATTTGATGACGTGTTGCCAGTTCGACACGCTGGAAACCTGATATCCCGCGCGTCGCATGGATGAGCGCAGCCACGATATGTGTGGTGCAGGCTCGGCTACCGATTTTGATGTAGGGTATGTACTAGTGATCACTCAACACATACCACAATATCTAAAATTCGAGAGCATGGTTGCTTCAGGTAGAATATAGGCCATGAAACCCAATCATTCATAAGACATCCTGTTATTCATTGGTAGGGGAGGCAGAGCATACACCAAATGAAAAAGACATAGAATGAACCCAACAACATCTAGAAAAAGAACAAGACTAAATCAGGGTAAGGTAAAGAGAAGTGGGAAACACAAAAAAACACAACAACAGCGATGGTAAGAAAAGATAGATCTAAAAAAAAAGACGAAAAAGGCTTGTATTGTGTGGGTGAGTGTGTTGTACAACTTTTTTTTTATCTTTGGTTTTGCTCTGATTTTTGTGATTTATACATTTCGTCAAAAGTTTATTTCTTGTTAAGGTTCTTGTTTGAGTTGGCGGGCGCGGGTAATGAGGGATTGCTAAGTGCAAATCCAAAGCATTGACAGGAAAAACAAGGTATAGACATGATATCCGACCGATCGGAGATAGGATTCGATTGAGTGGGTAGGGCTGTCGGCACAGGAGTTGATCATGTCGCTGCTGAGACTGGTTCTGGTGCCGGGTTTGCGTTGGCAGGCGCGGTGACTCCTGAAGCTTCTGTCTGGTCTGCCTGTCCATTTGCGTCACTGGTACCCTGTAACGTCCAGTTGGAGGACGAAAGATAGATAACGATAATGACAAAAACATAAGCATGGGGTTTGTCCGATCGAGTAAAGACAATTTAAGCTTACTAGTGGCTCTTTCTTTGCCTCCTCAACTGGGGCATTTAAACCACTACCAAGGGATGATTGGTTAAGGTTTGATTTTCCAAAAACGGTGGGCTTAACCCTAATGTAACCGAGAAAAGCGCGTTGATAAGATTGTTCAAGGTCAGTTCATTGATCCGAGTAAGAAATATTTGAGTGGAGATGCCGAAAGGAGGTCGTAAGGAAGACAAGCTCTCAACTGACTTTGCGTTGGCCCATCGCTTTCCCTTTTGAGAACTAAGTTTTTGAGTGCAAGGAGAGACAAGAGCATCGGATGGCGAGTAAAAGGCGCTGTTGAGAAGTGAAAGATAAGGAGGTGAAGAGGTTATTTTGTCAGCTGAAGTAAGTTGATTAAATCGATCAAGATTGATAAGAAATACCAACCCATTCGCTGCCATTTTCTTAGCCAAGAGTGATTTGCCTGTCATTGAGCTTACGCCTTGAGGAATATTCTCAACATTGTGAGGTACTTCTACATGTGCCATTTCTTGTGGATGATGAAGTGGTTCGACATCGACCTGGGATGATGAGTTGGTAGCAATAGAATCGGTTGACTTGGGTGGGGGAACTGTCTCGGTTTGGGTTGGTTGGGTTTCTTCAGTAGACATGATTAAGTATCGTTCTTTGATAGCTGATGATATCTAGAATGGATTTCTTAATGATAACTTGTAGAAACTTGGAAGTTCTGTTGGGTTTTGTTTCTGTTTCTCTGAGGAGTTGAACTATTTAAAATCAAATCGACTTTATTACTCATCACTCATCGGTTGAAAGTTGAAACTTCAATTTACATACACCCTTTCACTATCACGCGCTGTCAAGTCCGCATCACGCGTTTGACACCAGTCTCCTGTCTCGACTTAAAAGCACGTGATTTACTTAAAAGTAAACCCTCAATTGCGAATCCGCTTCCCTCGTCTCAACAAAAGCCGGGTTTCCCCCTAGCGTTAAGTAATTAGGCTTTCCTGTTGGAGTATCGCCATCCAAACTCAACAAAGTCCCTTGCTGCTTCTCGCGCCCTTCGAGAGCAGCGATGGACTTATGACAACGGACCTACTTTTGACCTGTGAGGGGAATGAATTTTTGCAGAAGAAATCTGGCTCTCATGTAATTTTTCTTTGCCCCAGTTGGGGATTTTGTGGAGGCAAAGAAGTCTTTTGTTTGCCTCTGAAAATTCCTTGGTTTTCTCAAGATTATTTTGAAATATCTGTGCATCTTCAAGAGGCAAACAAAAATTTCTTAAATCCACAAACAGGCGGAAAGGATTTGTCAGGACAGCAACTTTCTCCGGCCAAATCTCATTCCCCTCACAGACCAAAACATGGTCCATCAGTTAGGGTGTGTGCCCAAATATGCCTGGGGCTGTGTTTTGTTGCGGAAATGTTCGTCAATAATTGAGTCATTCACAAGCAAATGTGAAATAAAACATCAGTTTGGAGTGACTGAAAAGCCCCTTGGAAGCCAAGGAGCAATAGATTTCACAATCCTAAACAGCCTAACACACGCTCCGACCCACCTAATGGAAAAGCATACAATCAGAGTGGTGAAGTAAGGAGTAGCTGCAAAAAAATATCATAACCAAAATGATTGGTGTCTACAAGAAACTAATGATAGGTAATTTTTCATATAAAGAGAGGCCAAAAGCTCAAACAGCCCACCTATCAATATAGGAAACTTACTAAACAAAATTGACATTTGCGCCCACGTAAGACTCATGCCCAATTGTAAGGTGCTGGACTTGAGGAAGCCAAAGACTGCATGTCCAAAAATGTAAATAAGAAATGCTACTGACGGCCAGTGTCCTGCACTTTTAGGATAGTCAAGCAAAAACCCGTTTTGAGCTGAAGTGGTTGCACCGCCAGAGTGTAATGAATGACCCAAAAAAGATTTGTCAAAAAAACTTGTGGAAACACTCAAGAAACCATGAGTGCGTAGGAACACAACCCTGGGAAGTCAGAGACAAACTCAGAAGAGGCACAAATAAACTGTCCCTATAACAGAGATATGGTTTTAACAACCTAACAGGACATGCTATCAAGGTATAAAAATGCTTGATAATCACTGATGCTCCTAAAAACGCTGTGTCGCCTTATGATTAAGGTAAATAGTATTGAAAGAATTTATCACATATTGACAATTTGAGAGAAGAATGCATAATAATTTTTCTTGTGTTGAGTAATTTTCTTGAATCCGGGATTTTTAGTTCACCTAAACAATGTAACCCAGCAAACCCCACTGCTAATGATTCCATAGATAGACAATCATCATGACCAGAAGTTGATCTTTAAACCACCAATTCAATTTGAGCTACTGTTAATGGAGCCTTTGTTATGATGTGATATTATGGATGTTGTGCGTTACAAGGTTATGCCATCATTGTGTTATGCTAATACATGTTTATCTATTATAATATGTTTATAACCAAATTGTTGTTAGTTATATATATTATAGATTGGTTGTCAAGATGGATTGATTTCTTCTTTACCTTCCCTATTCATTCTAATCTTTCTATTCTAGGTAAGTTTATCACTACAATGATATATTACCTTTCCTATTCATTCTAATCTATCTATTCTAGACTGTGATCCATCTTATCAGCTTTCCTCTTCACTGGTTTCAAAAAATCCTTGATGCAACCCTTCATGACTTGTTTTATTAAATCAGAATTGGTTTCACAGATCATATTTGGAAATTTCAATTTGAAATCATATTTGATGCTTATTAAATAAATCCTGACGGAACACAGAGATATCCCCCAGCTGAAGTAAAAGATAAACCAAGTCAATGTTTTTTAATTGGCGTAAAAAGGGGTACAAAAACAAGAATGGAAAAAACTTCCAAAACCACACATGTACTTAGGGCACGTTCACTTAAGCAATTTCTGGTGAGAAATCACATTCTGCAAAATTTAAAGTGTTTATTTGGTGGTATATGTTTCATTTTTGCATTAGAAAATTTACAGAATGTGATTTCTGGTCAAGAATTCCTCAAGTGAACGCACCCTCAATGGTTGTTTCAGCCAAGAAACAAAGTCAGTAATCTTTTCAATCATCTTATCCTTCTGGTCATGCGCAAGATAGATCATCATCTTCTCAGAGTCTACCACATGACTGATGACTTCCAGTGCTGAACTGTGTAACTGTTTCTTTCAAACCCATGGAACTCCCAGAATACCAAACACCATTATAAGCTCAGCTTGTACAGACAGAATCCTATGCTCCTTAAAGGTAACAAAATCATCTGTCGGAGCTACTCTGCACACATTGTCCATCATACAACTCAAATTCTTGATGTTAAAGATCTCTTTATCTATCCATAGCACTAATGAAAAGACGCCACATCAAATGTGTGGTGAAGCTGACAAACCAAAAGCTAGGTTGTGGTTGACTCAACATTTTGTTTTTATCTGGATGATTTGACAAATCCGGTTATGCAAATGAAGAGGAATAGTTTTAAAAGCTCCGTCCACATCTGATTTGAAAATTACCACCTTCTTATGTGTCTTCATTCACGTGGTGGGCGCGGCGCGAAAGGCAGGCCTTTAGGGCCTGCCCCATGGACAGGCCTTTTAATACCAAAACTATGGTAGGCATTGTCAACTATAAGAGGTTCTGCGGAGCAGAACCTCTATTAATTTAACAAATACATAACCAAATGGGTGAACCATTTTAGAGAACAAAACATACATAGTAAATAAAAACCCACATCGCTATCACTCAGTGTCAAAGTGTAAAACAAAATACTTTTAATAGTTATATAAAAAGGATCCCGGTATCCCCACCACCCCCCCTTGGTAGCCCCACCACCCCCTCCCTTTCACAGCTAGTGAAAGCCTTACTTACCAGTGACACAAGCTGTGACAGTAATGTCCAGTCGCACTGAAGGATCTCTGGATTTTGTTTTCTCAAGTTTGCTCACAAAAGATCCTCTTGGCTCAGCGATTCCATCATTCAATTAGAATCAAGTATTGAATATGAATAACTGGATGACTTGAATCAATATTACTCCGACCAATTGAAAAAGACAACCAATTGAAAACCAAGATTGAAGATCAGTGAGTCAGACCAATTCAAAATCAATGTACCATAACGATCGATTTTTTTTAGAGTGTCATCAACTGTGCCAGCTAAAAAGAGCTATCAGAGACAAAGGACTGAGAGTTGTAAACAAAGTTAAAAGAATCCTACTGAAGTAAGAGGCCGAACTCAAGTGATACATTTGAAGACCCACAGCATGATGCAAATCTTAAAAATCTTCATATGCACTACCAATCCAAGACCAAGGAAATTAGTAACCCAAACTAGTAGTCGCATCAAATTCTCTAGAAGTTGGTATCAAATTTTTTGATTCATGAGGAGGTAGTGAACCAGTAGAAGCTAAATGCTTTTGGGAAGGTTGATTAGCTGGTGTGTGCTTTAAAATTGTTCTAAGTGCTATTTATACCGAGCAAACTTGAGAAAACAAAATCCAGAGACCTTTCAGTGCGGCTAGACAATACTGTCACAGCTTGTGTCACTGGTAAGTAAGGCTTTCACTAGCTGTGAAAGGGAGGGGGTGGTGGGGCTACCAAGGGGGGGTGGTGGGGATACCGGGATCCTATAAAAATACCTAAGTCGAGTTAACCGAAAACTCAAGATAGATTTAAAAGAAAGGGTCTGGTCTGACAAACAGACCCTGACCAGTTGAACCCTTAAATACCAACCCCTATCATAGCATTCGACTAGACCAGGCAAAATCAACCAATGACCTAATCAAACCCTGAAGGGAATCACTCGTCAAATCAATGAAGACCGACATATAAAATGTGAGGTACCTTTTCAATGCAGAAAGAAAAATCATCTTTTTACTTAATACAAACCTTTTTACACAAATTCATTTTTAACAATCCCCTGTTTTAAATAAGATCAAACTCGCATTCTCATTTCTTCTTTCATCTGATCCAAATCACAGTTATACTCTGGAATCTTATTCCCTAGTTTCTTATTGTATCAAACTCGTGTTCCAGACAGATCTTTCTTTTTTTCCTTTTCTTCATCCTTATCATTTCCAACCCCCTCAGGACGTTAAAGATTGTGATAGCATAATCTATTTTTGACTAAAGTTCCTAATTTCTACTACCCATTTTTGATAAAGAATTGTTTTATCAAACTAACGCTGAAGCATCATCCTAAGGCACTGCTTACGATTAAAACTCGTATTCTCCTTGGAAGGTAGTTAAAAGTGAGTGCACTTTTTTCTTCAAAACTGGCAGCGGTTTCATTCCGCACCTAAGACAGTTATAACTAACATCCATAACTACTATCAATTACTCACAAAGAATCTGAAAAATAATCTCCCTCTAGTTTTGAGAAATTCTTGTCTAAAACTAGATAGAATACATTTTGTGAGTACATTTCAACTTTGAACTAGCTAGTTTTCCGCCGAATCATAGTCTCAAGTTGACATGCATGCCCAAATTAGGTTTAGGTATATTCCTGAGCTCAAATTGTTTGCCATCAAGCTCTTAGAGATTGTACCCCACACTGCGGGTGTTGAAAGCCTCTTTTTGCGGATGGATTCTCAAAAGACAAAGTCGCACCCTCATAATAATATGAACGTCTTGACATTGTAG